TTATAGGCCCTTAAAATCACCAATCCATCATAACATTCATCATGAAGACTCATTAAATCCTCACATCAAACAACACTTCCACTGAGGAGCTCATAAACATGTTCTTGTAGTGTTTGCTGCTTGTTTTTATTGTACTTTAATAGTATTAAGACTCCCACTCTTAGCCAATTGTCAAATTTCTTCCACTTCCACCGACAAAAAAAGTTGGTCTATAATGAACAGAAAAAACATAATTTTGCATGATAGAAAAATGTTGTTCAGCTTGAATATATAATATCATCGTTTTAACAGCAATTATGAGAGCAGACATGAATAATTTACCTCACATCTTGAAAAGAAACAACAGCGGAGTCTAACACACGGTCTTTGAAGTGGTCATTTTGTAGCCAAAGCTCTTGAAATGTCCTGGCATGTTTGGCTTAGACCGCATTTGACTTAAGTGACTGCCAGTTGAAAAGCAGGAAAAGATTAAAAATGGTGCTGAAAAATAGCCTGACCATAACAATATAAGCAAAATGTGTGAAGCAATGTAATAAAACACTTAACACGGTAGAGAAAAAAATTTACATATAATCAAAATAAAAAAAATGTTGATGAATGGAAACTGAAAGTGACAACAAAAGCGTCTGACATTCAATGACATTAACAAAAAAGTGAATCCCCTGACCAGTGGTAACCTTGTATTATATTTAACTAGTGTATGTGTATTTAACACTGATCTTTAAAGCATTTTATGAAGTTTATGAAAAAGTCTTGGTGACACTTTACCATGAAATCTCATTTATAAACATTAATATAATGTTGTATAATAAATAACAACAAACTTTTCAGAACATTAAAGGTATAGTTTAACCAAAATGAATATTTACTCACTATTTACTCCCCCTCAACAAGAGGGTGTTCCAAAGAGTTGTTCCATATCTTTAAGAGTTTCTGTCTTCTGTTGAACCCAATAGAACATATTTGGAAGAAAGCTGAAAACCTGTAACCGCTGACTTCCAAAAAACAAATGCTATAAAAACATCAAAGGTTTTCAGCTTCCTATAAAATATCTTCTTTGAGGTTGAACAGAAGACAGAAACTCATTTCGACAATTTTCTTTTTTGGGTTAATTTTCCCTTTAATTAACCTTTGTTAATATCTTCTGTTCTTCGCAATAGAAGATATTTTGAAGAAAGCAGATAACCTGTGGCCATTGACTTATGTAGGGAAAACAAATGCTATAAAAATCATCAATGGTTACAGGTTTTCAGCTTTCTTTGAAATATCTTCTTTTGGATTGATTAGAAGACAAAAACTCATAAAGGTTTGAAAAAAGAGAGCAAATGATGAAAGAAGTTTCATTTTCGGGTTAATTATCCCTTTATTTAACCTTTGTTAATAGAAATGTTCATACGTATGCTAATTCACAGTCCAATATTTAATGTTAACATACAACCTTGATGTAAAAAAATAGCTAATATGTAAAATTAACTAAGTTGTAAAGTACTTTTAGTATTAACGATAATGAATTAATAATAATAAAAAAAATTGTTTTAGCAGTTGTAACTAATCTTCAATAAACAGAACATAAAAAAACACTGAACTTTTATTTCAAAGTGCATTAATAATGACAGTCTTAAAATGTATTATTTAAACTGGCGGATTAGCAGCAAAAGTAACACTTTGCTGTTGTTACACAAATGTAGAAATGGTACTTTAAATGAGAATTAATCTTTTAGGACCATTTAAGCTTACAAAAATCACTAATTCTTTGGGCATTTGATTAGATTAAAATGAAATTCCTGAAATGTGTAATGAAATAATCATTATAATTATTTATTATTATTATTACTAGTAGCCTACACAATTTATTTATTTTATTTATTTATTAAATTTTTTTCTGAGCAAAACCAAACAGACAGATTAACAGAATACACGGAGTGCAGTTAGTAGCAACAGAGCAAAAATAAAATAATAAATTTACCTAAGCAAAGAGACAGGGAAGAAAACGAATATATGTAATAAAATTAATACAAATATAGAGTCAGTAGAAATAGAGCAATAAGACAGAAAAATGGAAAACAAAAACAAAATAAACACAAGCAAAGAGAAAGGTAAGAAGGAAAAAAATGATTGCAATAAAATGAAAACAAAAAAACACAACAGGTGCATATAAATGTATGGATACTGTGTGTTAGGGCTGCACAATATCGTTTCAGCATCGATGTCACAATGTTAACCTTCACAATAGTCACATCACGAACATACGCAAATTGAGTCTGGATTTATTTTATCATTTTGGAAGTGTTTTTAGGCCATCAGGTATAAGAAATTGTACTGTTTTTAACTTTGACATTAAAAACGATAAATTATTTTGAATCGTTTATTAAACGAAGACTATGCAGTATTAGTTTACATTTGATTATTTAATTACTGTATAACTAAAAACAGTCTGAAAAACATTAAATCGCTGTTTATCTAATTTGTATCTTTTTCTTGATTGAATTTATCTGTGCTTGTAGACTGTTTCTGATATTTTATGCAGATGCACTCCTCTACAGAATCATCCCATTCAATCTCAAATCATGCATTCTTTCCAAATAATTATTCAACACATGTAGTGAAATTGTATTCATATCGCAACATATATCGCAGATTTAAAAACAAATATTGCAATGTTAGATGCAGCCCTATTGTATATAAAGCAAGTACATAGGTAAGTCAACAGATAATGATAATAACCACAAATAATAATGATGATGGTGATAGTTAAAGTAGTGAGGGTGTGAGGAAGGGGGTAGCAATAATGCCTCTTATTACTAATAATAAAAATAATAATAATACACAAAACATTCTTGAAAACTTCTGAAGCTTGTTTCAACAACACAAAACCAGGAACATAAAGATAACCATCTTGTTACCATTCTGAGCATGACAATAAACAAAGAACAAACAGCACAACCAGTCTGTTAAAACCAAACTCAAAGTAGTAAGTAAAAACATTTAGAGCTAAAAGAGAGTCAAATCTTTACAATCAATTCTCATTTCTTAACATTTTGTGCCCCCTAGTGGTGCACACGTCTCAAAGGCTATCTTTCCTGGAGCATTTAGAAACGACTGACTTCTACCTTTCGGTAAACACATCTGCAACATTATTTAAACTAAATATTTAAACTAAAAACTGTTTATGAAGTTCTTATACCCTATTTTAGTGTCCTAGCAAACTCCAGCACAGCTATATCTCTATACTCTACCACGCAGGGACACACAAGAAAAGATGGGCCATTTAGTCAGTAATTAAGAGCTGATTAAGCCAGATTGGTCCGGCTATTCAACAGCAAAGTCACCTTGCCCTTTCTGCCTCCTGCTCCTTATACTGTAACCTACATAATGTTATCCAAGCATGCACTGTTAACGGCAAGCACTACGATGAATCTTATCTAACAGGAGGTGCCATACGATTTGACACTTCCAGAAGAACACTGGATTTAAACCACTACTCAGATCACTGATTGATTTGCTTCAATGGTTATACATTCATGTGCTAACTCTGCAGAAAGTGTGTACACAAATTTATACAGTGAAAAGAAGAATTATTAACCCTCCTGTACATCTTTACCCCCAATTTCTGCACTGTAATACCTAATAAGTTAAGGTAACTCAAACCATTTAAGTTCACAATCTAATTCTAATGTGTGCTGTGAACTTAATCCATTTGATTAAATGAAGCACTTTGAGCACAGTAAAACCCAATAAATGAAGGGAACTTAAACCAACTGAGTACTGTAAAAACTAATAAGGCAACACAAACCGATTAAGGAAGCCAATTGCTACAAACCATTTGAGTTAAAAAACTATTCAATATGAGCACTGTGAATCTGTGAACTTCCTCCATTCAAGTTAAAGTTAGGGCCAGATGGAATCTGCAGACTTTTTTTTGCTATTTCTGCGCAGAATTTTGTTAAATATCTGCAGGTTTATGCGGAATGATTTTGGGAGTATTATAACTAAAACCTTAATATATGAACTAAATATTACCTATTTAATTTGTATTTAATGTTTACAATGCAAATCCAATTAGATCCACTGCACTGTATTTGGTAAACAAAGCAAGTCTTCTTTATATTATATCTACTAAAAGACAGAAAATATTACTTTACAAACTGTATTGTATACAAATTATATGAACATTTTCATATTAGTCAAAAATTAAACTGAAAATAATTTAAAAACTGAGTGAACATGAAAGTACATGCAGTACAGTACAAGCATCACAGTGGCAAGAAGGTTGTTAGTTCGAGCACCGGCTGGGTCAGTTGGCATTTCTATGTGGAGTTTGCATGTTCTCCTTGTGTTGGCGTGGGTTTCCTCCGGGTGCTTTAGTTTCCCCCACAAGTCCAAAGGCATGCGCTATAGGTGAATTGGGTAAGCTAAATTGTCCGTACTGTATGTGTGTGATTGAGAGTGTGTTTGTGTTTCACAGTGATGTGTTGCGACTGGAAGGGCATCTACTGCATAAAACATATACTGGATAAGTTGGAGGTTTATTCCACTGTGGCGACCCCAGATTAATAAAGGGACTAAGCCGAAAAGAAAATGAATGAATGAATGAATGATAACAGTACGTAATATTTTACTAGATATTTTTCAATACACTAGTATTCAGCTTAAAGTGACCTTTAAAGGTTTAATTAGGCAAATTAGGGTAATTATGCAAGTCATTGTATATTATGGTGGTTTGTTCTGTAGACAACAGAAAAAGAAATGCTCGAAGGGGTATTTATTGACCTTAAAATGGTTTTGAAAAATTAAAAACTGCTTTTATTCTAGGCAAAACAAAAATAATAAAACATTCTCCAAAAGAAAAAATATGATAGGAAATAATATAAAAAAAATTCCATGCCCAGTTAAACATCATTTGTAAATATTTGAAAAAGACAAAAGAAATTCACAGCAGTAATAATTTCGACTTCAACTGTATAATGTTAAAGGATTTTAGACATTGTAGAGAAACTCACCATCCTGGAAGACACGCTCGACGTTGAGGCCATAAGTAGCACAGGTCTCGTAATATGTGCACCTCTTCAGGTCGTTGGACAGTTTTCGAGCACGAGTGTCATCAATGACACGAGGGTTAGCTGCACTGATTGCGTCTGTCAAGAGTTAAGAGGAAGCAAAAACAATTAGAATTAAGCTAAAACTGGACATCATAGTAAAAGAGGAAGACAAACTGTGACAGCCTTCATCATAATTGTATCTCAATCAAAATCAATGGAAATAAGGCAATAATGGTAACTACTTATTTAAAATGAGCTGAAACAATACAAATCTTGCATTTGTTTTGAGACAACTTAAATGATTTTTGTTCAATCCACAAAAATTTTGTAAAAAAGATTAATTTAAGTCAAGTAGTGTTGGGACAACATGAAGGAATTGTAGGGAACTTAGCATTTTTGTAAATGTACAGTCAAAAACGATGTTTGCTGTTAGTTCAAACGACTTATTTTTAATGAGCTGAAAGAACACAAATCTTGCTTTTGTTTTGTGGCAACTTGATTTATGTTTAAACCACTTATAAGTCACCTTAATCCCTCCATGTTGCCCTATCGCAAATCTATAGTGTGGAACACAGCTATTTTCACAGTGCAAGATACAGATTAAATCTACCATTGATTTGAGTTTGGCTCCCCCTAGTGTTTATACACTGAAAACACAAGTAGTGTGAATGTTTATTTTTTTGCTTTGATTACAGTTTAAAGTTTGTAACCTTAAAAAGCTTGGGGTCAGTAAGACTTATATTTGAATATAATAATAATAATGTTTTTGATATTTTAAATGTATGTTTATTTCAATACATTGAAGTATCAAAAATGTTATTCACTGTACTAGCTGCTGGAAATTGAGAGTTGCTTTCACAGGAATTGTATATTACAAATAGTACATCTTAACATCAACAAAAGTTATTTTATTCTTTATTAATATTTTTCATGCCAGAATTTAATCAGTATATTGGTAAGAATTGAGACACTTTCAAAAACAATCCAACAAATGTCAGAATGTTTGAAGAGAGAGAGAGAGAGAGAGATAATTTAGAATTTATTCCCATATTAGCTTCTCTGGTTATATCATGGTAAATCCAGATCAAATTTACAACATTTTGTAAATATCACTTTTCTATAATAACAATAAAAAATATATAACAATAAAGACATCAACAGAAATAAATAATACATAAGATACACATCTAAAACATTTTTCTGTTTACTTTTAATAAAAATTTTATCCTTTGTCAATGATTCACATGTAAAAAACTTTCTTTTAAAAGTCTCTCTAGTTTAAAATAATTGTTTGATAACATTAAAAATAGGGCATTCCAAAAGTGTATGTCTCTCAAACGCTTGAAACATAGGAAACATCTGTAACATAGGACCCCTCAATAACTCTTGCCAGACACACTCTATGTCATGCATTAAGCACAACTTTATGCTTAAAAAGAGATAACAACCACTAAAATATCAATAATATTAGTTAATAATATGAACTCCTTAAATATAATTTAAGCAAATCTGTCTAGTATTATAAAAAATGTTTAGTATTCAAACTGTTTTCTTATAATTATATTGCCAAACCACTAGAAAATATGACCTTGGAATTTTTAATGAGAGTTGCTGTCATGTGATATAGTACATACTTAGGGTTTGCTCTCTCTATACTCACCCTGAGTTCCCACAAGCACCAGGGGCACCTCTGCGGTGTTGCGGTAGTTGGCCATGCGACTGTAGTAGTGGTAGACCGTCTGAAAGCTGATCTCATCTTCCAGACTGAACACAAAAATGACCGCATCCACCCACAGCGCAAACTGAGAAACAACAATTGAGAGAGCGGGAAGCGTTTACAAAGTGTGAGAGAAACATTTTTTACATAAAAAAAAAAAATGCTTTTTTGTGAAAAAAAAAAGTTGTAGTTGATTTTCATCAGAATTCATAGGCTGAGTTTCATTTCATCCGCTACGATGTGATTTTATGTATCTGAAATTTTGCAATAGCAAGGATTTTACACACCTGGATTAAAACAAAGGTTATTTAACTCTCCTTAGCACTGCCATAATGGATTTAATTTATACGGTACTATCCTAAAAAGAAGTGTTAGAGTGAAGCACAAAATACATTTATACATTATTATTTATACATATTATGTATACTGTTTCCCCCACCAGCCTTAATCTATATTGACTGATTTATTTTATGTTGTAAGATCTTGTAAATAATACTTTATAGCTTTTTGACTTCCTTTGTGACTTTCCTTTATTTCATAAGTGAAATAAATTCACTTATTTTTGCAGTATTTTGGTTGTTGTGTTGATATTTTGCCACCAACTCACCCCAAAATATTATCACCTTAAATGTTACCTTTTAAACTCTAGAGACAAAACTTAAAAGTCGTAACAATTATAAATACCAGTAACTTTCTATAATTAGAAAAATATATAATTAATTGAATCTGGGAGCTTTTACTCTTTTTAAAAGTTTACCAAATATAAATATAATATAATAACATTTTTTATGTTTTTTTATTTATTTTTAATTTATTTGTCATTGCTGTTTTTGGACAAAATATTAAAAAATACTGTCTTCCCTAAAAAAAACATATTTCATACTTAGATTTATATATACGGAGAGACAAGTCATAGTTCAGCCAAAACGTGTAAATGGGCTGTTAATTCACTCAAGCTGAGACTACCAAAGATTTAGGCAATTACTTATTTATCAAAAGAATAAGATTTTTAGCTAAACAAACATCTGTGGTTATTGCTGATTCATAGAATTTAAGTTAACACCTACTTGCATTTTTATACTCAAACATTTAAAAGCAAAACTAAAAAATGAACACCTATGGAAAGTTGACAACCTCTGTGAAGTTGGAACCCTATAAAAATAAAAAATCCTTAAAACTATGCCATTCTTGTGCTACATTTGTGGCACAAAAACAAAAGTTTGGTATCTGAGATATTAATGAATTTATTTTTTTGACTGAGATCACTCTCCACCCCATGCTGCTCAAATCGCTCCAAATCAGCGCAGTTCGTTTGTGCTTGATTAGTGCTGGATTGTGCCATTAAAACAAATGCTTTATCTATTTTCTTTCTTTAGTTATAGCCAAAATATTTCAGGAGCCATGACCTCACTTTTCACCCCAGTTCCTCTAAATCACTGGTGTCATTCATTTATGCCTGTTTGTGCCGTTAAAACAATCACTGTATCTATTTTCCGTTTTTAGAAAGAGCCTAACACTTTATTGTCTATTTTGGTTTCTAGCTTAATAAATAATACATAAATTCCGTATCAGAATCATTTAAAAAAAAACTTATATTTATTGCTCAATGACAAGGTAGTTTTTCTATTGGGCTTGTGACAAAATGAATGATTTAGGACTTGACTCAGTTTTGCTATTTATTTAATTGTTTTTTTAATATGCAAAATAATAGTTGGCTACTCAAATGTAAGCTCACACCTTCTGAAATAAAATACTTTATTATCAGAGAGCATAAATATAAGAAACTAGTTATTATACACTTAGATTAAGAGTAAGCATTACGGTCCACCCTATTTCACCAAGGCCCACTCATTTAAAAAATTCTGGCCTCGCCCCGATGTATACATTTCAGAAAATGTCTATTTATGGTTATAACTTAAATATGTATATCTAATAGAAATGAATCTTTTGACAGCATTAGTGAAGAAGTAATGATAATTCAATAAAACGTGCACATGTATGTGCTCAAATCTATATAAAAACATTTTCACAAGTTAGATTGCTGTCTGACCATTAAACACATATGATGTGACCAAGTGTAAACCCCACAATGTTTTCTCTTTCTCTCTCAAAGTGCTGCTAATTGCTGGTTTTCCTTTAGGGCTGTGTTATTTGGAGGAAAATATCTAATTGTGATTTTTTTGACAAATATTGCGATTGCAATTTGATTTACAATTACATTTAAACTGGTTTTAATTTATTTCAAGCTTCAGCTCAGTAAGCTGTAAGCCGTGGCAACCATTCTGCGACAGCTCTTAAAATATGCCTGTTTTTGTTCGGTGTCTGTGACTTAAAAATATTCCCATTTAACAAATGTTGTTTTTCTTTGATATTATTTCATCTATTAATGCTTCTGAAGCAGCAGACGCCATCGTCCTACTTTTCAGCACTTTCCTGTTTGTTTTCTATAGAGTGAAGGAACTATGACGTCAATTTGTATGCAAAAACCCGGAAGCGAGTTAGCATTTTAGCAGTTCCGGTTCCCTCATCCTAAAGTCAATGGGTTTTTTGAATGGGATTTCAGTAAAATCGCTTAAATAAGGTTCATGGCTAACACAAACTCAAGATACTTGTTTTGTTCTACGACATAAAACACATCAGTTACATCAGACTCTTGAATTTTTAAATCGGTTATGCTTCTTTAAAAAGACGGTTGCTAAATGGGACTACAGGCGGTGTCGGAGACATTATACGTCATCGAGCTGATCTGGTCTGGAGCGCAGCTTGCTTGTGTTGGGCATTTGGATTTGTCTGTTATTTAGGTATTTTCATGAATAGTATTTTATAGTTTGAAGTGTTTTTCTAGATTGTGTGTAGATAATTCCTTCACTTGTAAAGGCTGTCGAGACAGATTAATTTGTTGATCATTTATTTTTATTAAACGATATTATGAGGATACTGCTTACTAGTGCAGCCTGTCTCTTTTTTGCTCTCGGTAATGCAAACGTGTCAATAAATGTGTAAAAATATATGCATGTTAACTGTCATTTTAATGTGATCAAGTGATTTTTTGTCTTTTTTTCTTCATCTGAACACATTTAACTCTGTCATAACTGCAATATTTACACTCCTCTATAAAATGTATAGCAGCTGTGACTGTATGGGCTGCTTTTCGCTGTACTTTGTGACATAAAAACGAAAACTGAATGTTGTTCTGTGTCCATGATGGAACTTGCTGGCATTTAAAAGACATGTTCCTCACGTCTCACTTGTGTATAAGATAATATAATAAAAAGAGAGATTTACTCTTTGTTATGAAACATATTTCTAAAAATAAGCTTAAAAAGTTGTCGTTAGCAAGGTGGTGCTGACGTCACAGGTGAGAGCCCCGATGCCACTGTCGTCTGTTTATAGCCTAATGTTAGCTTTTCAATTCTTGTATTTGCATTTAAGATCAAAAAGTGTTCAAAGTTGTATTTTCGTGTGAGGATTATCTGGCTGGACAAAACATGTAAGTGTGATGAACAGTGTTTGAACACAGCTTATTATTCGCAATCTTCAAAAAGCCTATGGGAAAATCCTATAGGTATTTTATCGAGGTAACTAGTTTTATGCTAGCAGCCTATTCGCCTACAAGGTGACGTCATAGTTCCTCCACTCTATTGTGGGCATAGTTCAGTAGTGCAATTCTGATTTGGCAGAATGAAAGTGTGCTCACTCAATTGGTTAGTTATAAAGCCCAGGTCAGATCACACGATTTCGGCCTGATTTCTTTGATGTAGGGTGTCATGTGAAGTCGTGAATCACAAATGTATGTCTTGAAACAAGATTCAATCGTTTCTTCTGGTGTAATGTGGCATAGTTGACAACAACTGATACTCATGCTGCAATGCCTCACAACACCATCGCAGAAAGTCTAGGCTGTTTAATTTTCTGAAGCATAGCGAACTGGTTTTGAAGCACTTCACCTCAGATATTATTCGTTATTCTTGTTTACATACAATTGAAGACAGAATCATTAGTCACCTTCAAAAAAGTCACCTTTATCTTGGAAAACCTGAAGGAGACTAAATTAACAATAAATGTTTGGGTGAACTCTCTTTTGGGAGAGATTTCCATTTCAGGCAAGCATGCAAATGTGAAGCAACCAATGCTCAAGAAATCTATACAGAAAACTGGAATCCCCAAAAAAAAGATGCACTGGAATGATTGTAGCCCTTAAAATGACTGAAACTAACAGACTGAGACACCATAAAATTCACAGAGCATGAGAAAAAGGCTACATGACACTTCCTGTTAGCATTTTTAGGAATCATTTGGTCTAAATAAATGGCATCAGCCTTGTGCAAACCCTATTACATCACAGCTCCCTGTAAAACAAATCTAAAATATAGTTTTAAACAAAAAAATGTTCTAGATATGACAAAGCATTATTAATCAGAGCACCATCCTCTAGTGTAATGAAGCCCTATGCATTTTGGGCTGTACTTCCTACCTGAGCCTCCGGAGGTCCCCCTTCATCCCTGATTAGGAGGAGGTAACTTTGTCCGTCCACCACAATCTCCTTTTTAAAACGGCCTCCTGTCCAATAAAAGAGGTCAATTAGTCTGATGTCGAAAGAGTCTGATGATGGAAAACATTCACTGCTACACTACTAAGACATTGATGAATTGATGGACTGTTGATTGACATGGAAATGAAGAAGGGCATATATGTTATCATTTTGTTATTTGCTATAATTTTCTTTTATCAGGACAATTTGTGCTACAAATCAGTGTTCAGAATCATTTAATACAAGCTAAATTAAGTACTCTAACTCTGTTCACTAGTTCAGAATTTAATAAAGGGGTGGTCCAGTACGATATCATATTTTAAACTTTAGTCGATGTGTAATGTAGCTGTGTGAATATAAACAACATCTCTCAATGCGCTTAAAAGTTCAATTTAAAAAACGAAGACAATGGCTTTTACAGAGTTAGCTTAGCAAAGAAAAACTAGACTGAAGCAGTTTCAATTTACTAGAACTTCCATGTTAAGCTGCTTTGACACAATCTACATTGTAAAAGTGCTATAGAAATAAAAATAAATTGAAGTGAATAATCCATTGGAAGCTCTGTACGCAGCTTTCAAACATGGTGAAACAAAAGCAAGACAATAGTTTTTATAAACAAGGAACACCAACGTTTTTGGTTGTTTTGTTTTTTTAAGGTCTTTCCGATGTCAAAAATGCTTGTACAAAACATACTGTTTCGGTAGCCATTGTTTTGAAAAGTAAATCGCTTGTTTGGCCTTCTTGCAGACATCACATGCGTCATTAAAATAAATATGAGTGATGAGATGTCGAGATAAACGTGTCTCTTGTCCTTGACACCACAGATTTAAAAGCCAAAATCACAACTAAACAGTGATTAACGCAACAGACAAACAAAAATGTTTTAAAGCAACATAATATGAGCGTTTGCAGTTGCGGCATTTAGACTTTGAAATGAACTTTATGTTGTGTACAGTATTTAGATGACCTAATGATCGTGTAAAATATGACATGTCAAGTTTAGTTTTTGCTGTCTTGTGTATATTTGTGACTAATAATCTAAAGTATTTCCATACACTGCAAAAATATCTGTTAATAAACAGTTCCCTATATTTTGTGATGTTTCCCCCATTTATTTACGGTTGTGAATTGCATTATAAGACCTTGATCTCTGCTCTGTCGACTTATGATGTTGACAATTCAACTTTACAGTTTAACAAAGTGACGTTTATTGATATTTTAGTAGTTTGAAATGATAATTTAGACCCTTTCTCTCACAACCTGATGCGGAGAGGCTTATCCATGCCTTTATCACATCATGTCTTGATTTCTGTAATTCACTTTTCACAGGTTTACCAACAAGTTCTCTCAGAAGATTACAGTATATTCAAAATTTTGCTGTACGGGTTCTGACACACCACCATATTACTCCTGTACAACACTGGCTTCTTAAGACACGGATTGATTTTAAGATCTTGATTTTAACCTTCAAAGCAGTGCATGGGTTAGCAGCTGGTTCCATTTGTGACCTGGTGACCTTTCGCCACTCCAGCCCGCAGTCCTCGTTCAGCATCGAGACTTACTCTGTATCAGCCACGCTGAAAACTCAAGACCATTAGTGGTAGGGCTTTCTCATACTGTACAGTGCGCCTAAGCTGTGGAATGCCCTACCCATCAGCATTAGGAATCCCACTTCTCTGGACTGTTTTAAGAAACTTCTTAAACCTCATCTTTTAGCATAGTTTTTAACTTAGGATGATTATTTTTGTTAATTTATTATTCTATTTTATGGTTCATATTTGTATTGTTTTGTTGTATTTTTTATTGTTGTGCTGTTTTTGTTATTGTTAGTATTTTGCCATGTAGCGTTTTAAGCCTAAAGCCTGTTTCACACCTCAACCATGAGTGTGTGTTTTTTTCAGCGTCCATGTTAACAGATTAGAGCTTTCGTACAGCACGCAGAAGCAGCGCATCAGCGAGAGTCGTGAGTGTCGCTGAAGCAGCAGTGCCGCAATAGTTTCAGCACTGGGTCTATTTTTGCCTCGCTGCTCAAGCTCAATTAAGGTGACAATGCTTTGATAATGACCAAAAACACGTTGATTAACAATAACAATCAATAAAAAAAACACAAGCTAATACAAAATACAAAAAAATAATGCTAATTCACGCATATTTTTTCAAGCGTACACAAATTACTGCAACAAATTCCTACATAGAAAAGTGTAAATAATGTGTAAACTGAATACTTATTTTCTATTATAACCGTGACTAATTTCCCCTAAGAGGAATAATTGTGTAATTAATGTAATATAGTGACTATTCAAGTCTCTTTTAATGAATTACTTTGAAAAAGCAGCTTTGTTGTAACCGCAGCTGAACATCCCATGGGAAACATATCTCTGTATTTTAATGAGATGCCTTTATGTACGAGCACAGAGAGGCCAAGTCAAAAAAAAAAGTAGACAACCATTGGGCTAAACCTCATTAACATGAGTATTTGTCAAAATATAATATGCAGCCTGAACAAAACCCCTTGTGCTTGAAAGTGTTGCTTCATGTTTCTGCCCAAAAGGTTTAATCAGTTTATTTTACCCTCATTTCAAATATGCATAATGCATGTATCTTGATTTAAACTTTTTCTTTATCTACGTTTTATCGAGTCCGCTCTTTCTGACCTACTTTGTTTTTTTAAAGAATGACAAATAGGAGCTTGAGACTCAAAGAAGGCATTTGAACCCAAAGACTAATTAAATGTCACTGCTGTAATTAGTTTTTTAAACATGTAGTCTGATGACCGGAATGGTAAAGATAATCTCGCACAAACTTGTAGCCCATGCCCTGTCCGAGCTAAAAGAGCAGTGGTCAGAGATCACAGGACTCGCTCTATCTTTCGGTCTTGTCAGTTTCTAGAGGGATGAATGGAGGGCGGCTCTTGGCTGGTTTGCTGAAGCATAAGAGGATCAGAGGGGATTCCTGGAGATGTTAGAGGGTCTTAACCTTATCGCGGTTCTATGTGGCTAATCAGCTTGTGAACCGAAGACCTGAAAAAGCTTCACTCTCACTTCATTGACTGAAAGGACATTCCATGGTCATCTCGGGACACAGACATCTCAGGGCCATTTTTCACCCTTCACTTCTGACCTCTAACTGCATCCCCATGATAACCAGTCAAGATGATCAGTCACATGGAGACACACTTGACGTCATTTACACTAATTTATTTAACTAACCATTTTTTTAAACATATATTTGTTTTTTAAAATAGTTAAGCAGTATTAATCTGGGTAAAATTTTTGATTTTTTGCTTTGATTTAAATAAAGCCCTTTAAGCTTAACTGCTTTATGTATTACAGATATATTACATTTTTAATGTTGTAAGCAAAGTATTGTTTAGTTCAAGACTGTTTAGTTCTAGGGAGGTGGTGGCAAATGCTAATAATAATAATAATAATAATAATAATAATAATAATATAATAATAATAATAATAATAATAATAATTTAAAACAATTTATTGAAGTAAGAGGGCTAAAATTAAAATATTTGCAAACATAACATAAAAAGTTTTTTTGCCCTGTCAACTAAGCATTTTGATTTGATCCAAGTCTGATGTTAATTATTTTCTGGAAAAAATGAATATCTAAAATTATTTTTCTATATATAAACTTTGCAATAATAGACAATATTTTATTAATTTAATTTGGAATTATAATAATTATTAACAAAATATATAAAATTATACATATTTAATTATATATAAAAAATATATAATTTTTTAAAATAACATCGTACATCAAATTGTCCTTAAAAATTCAAATAAGAATCTTAGGCCCTGTTTACTTTAATCCGTTTTAGTTTTAAAACATCATTTTGAAAAAAAGAAAAAGATCCACGTCTACACTCACATTTCACCTAGCGTTTCTGAACAGCTCTCCGTCCACACTACACCACTGAAAACTCACATCATGTGACCACACACACACTAGCATGTGCTGCAGCATATGCATATGTCTGAGTTCCAGACAGTCAGGAGGTGCTTTGAGCACACCTTATCAGATGAGAGATGAGAGCAGCAACGATCGGACAGTTCATCAAGGATCTTCCGCTGGATTTCATCTCATTATAAACGTTTAACGTGATATTCAATTCATCTTTTCTCTATCTAATGACTCTGGTCTTTTGAATCTATTACTTGTTCTCAGGTAAATATATTAATGTAACCATGTACACTGATTCTGCATATTGACTGATTGCCTGCCTTTATTTCCTATATTGCAGGGATCACCAAACTTGTTACTGGAGGTCCGATGTCCTGCAGATTTTAGCTCCAACCCTAATCAAACACACCACAACAAGCTAATCAAGGTCTTCCTGGGTATACCTGAAACACCCAGGCAGGTGTGTTGAGGCAAGTTTAAGCTAAACCCTGCAGGGCACCGGACATCCAGGAACGATATTGGTGACCCCTGCTATATTGTATAAACATGTTGTATGTTATATTTTAATATTGGCCATTATGGATTAACAAAACTGATATTCAGCCAAAGAGACAGGGCATGTTACATATTTTTCAATGATAATAAAAGGAGGCAGTAATGTTATAGGCTCCGTTTTGTTATAAATTGCATACAGTAAAGAGACGGTCATATAAATATGTAGCTACACGATGCCTTAACATTTTTAGTGTCTGTTAAGTTGCTAATATCAAAATGAAAACAGGCATCATGTTTTTATTTTATTGTTAACACAGTGAAACAACATAGCAAGGGTGATGTGGATGACGTTTTAAAGTACACTGTTCCCTTTGAAGATTGACCCGGCGTGTTCTTGGAAGTATTTCCATATCAAACTTATGAAGTCTGAAGGAACAGATGAAAGACTGAACTTTGTTCACTAAATGTTGAGGAAAAAGCCACAATCAGATAGGTGAATGTCAGCAGCCACACCTTCATTTTCAGATGTATCCGTTTTCCCCTATCCACACTGACACAGCAGCAGTGTTTTAAAACCAAAACGGCCTCTTTAGCATTTTCAAAAATCTCCATTTTCAGAGCTCAAAAATACAGGTTAGTGTGGATGGAAGGCGTAACCATATCAAAACACATATGCGCTTACGTATTAGTGTAAACAGGGTCTTACAAAAGTATGAATGAGCAATAAAGTAACTGCTAAATCAACTTAGACTCGTCACAGTATCTATAAATTGTTGCTTTCTGGTTATTTGAAGGGCTTTTTACCCTCATTTATGTTGCTTAGCATAAAAGTCTCTGTTAAATGAATGAATGTAAATATATATTTGGCAATGAAATCATCATCTCATTATTATCCATACTAAAATAATGTTTTTAAATATATAGAAAATATGTTTTTATTTTAACTACAGTAAAGCATCAACACAATTGATCATAGCATGATCACAAAATCAGTTGCCGACTCATTTGAGACTAAACAAGTGCTTGTATAAGCTAATATTTTCCAAAACAAAACGATTTCCAGTTTTAAAATGTTCTTGTGTGTGTTCTAGTTTTTATCTGTGTGAATCTATCGAATCTTTAAAGTCCTGATCCTTTATGTGAGAAATAATGAGAACACCAAAGTCCATGCGGTTCAAGAATGTCACCAAGTTTGGCTGAAAAGGATCATTGGGTGAGATGTTCGGATATGGTGGTCAGCTTGGAAGGGACATCGAGTTTTTCCACAATGACACATTTTGCCTGTTTTTTTCCATAAGGGAAGAGGAAGCAGAGCAGCATCAGGACAACTAATCCTCAGCATATAGTCTGGACCCACTTATTTATAAGTTCGTTGAAAATAGAGATTGAGTGAGAAGTGCGCAGTGAGTTAAAGACACACACCCGTTCGTGATTTACATTCTGGGTTCTTTCTCCATGGAGTTAACCTCAAAACACTTGAGTTCAGTCTCTCAATGTGCTCATTTGAATCTTGTAAATAAAAATAAAAACATCTCTGAAACTATTCGCTACTTGCTTTTAGGATAAACTGCTGAAGTGTTGATGGACAGTGACCTGTAACTCCCGGTGCATGGTGTCTTTGTGGTTCATTGAGGAAATGAATGAAATGGAAGATGATTTATCTACAGTGGCATGAAGAGAGGAGCGAAGTGGAACCTCCTATTCTGTGGCATGATCTGTTTTAAGCTTTGTGACAAATAAAGGCCTCGGGTAATCTTACAGCGAAGTTCTTTTTCATTTTTCATCTGAAGCAAAAAATAAAGTGAAAATTTGATGCTTGTATATGAGGAACCACAGCTGAGATGCTACTGAAAGAAGAGTTTACAAAAATATGTCAATTCTGCTTGGCTTTCTATCAGCAATAAAATAAGGATAAAAAAAGAGATTGGCTACATATAAAAATTTGACTATTTTCTAGAAGGCTAAGCAACAGATTGTTTTAAGAGAGCTAGTTTTATATTAGAATCATGATATTACAGTTAATTTTCAATTTCTATAAAAAAAACATCTTTTCTGTGAGTTCATATTTTGACTCGCTTTTGACCTCAACAAATCTAAACAAACCAGCAAAGACTTCAAAAGAAGCCAAAAGAAGCCATGTCAAAGAAGCCTTTAAATAAATCTACATATTTTATATTCACATATCATAGACTGATGGTAGTTTTAAAAGTATTTAGTGACCAGGGGTCCGTTCTTCGTACCTCGCTTAAATAATCTAGAATAATTGAGCAGATCTTGGATCGTTTAATCTTGTTTACTGATCTTAAGCTAATTTTGTTCTTCAAACAATTTTGCAAATCCGATTAAAGTTTCTGGATAATTTGATCTGATTAATTGATTGCTGTGAATGCTCATGTGTGTTGTGAAGGACAGATTAAAAACTATGTCATAATGACTGATTAAAATTCAATATCAGCTATGTGAGCAAAATGACAAGTTTTATGGCAAATAAAACAAATGGTTAAATATGATACACTTGTGTTGTAGGCTATTTGTAGAGCCTTTGCACTTTCATATGTAAAAAAGTCAAGTATTAAATTTAGTTTCTTCAGGATAGTATTCAAGTTTCTTAATCCTGTGGAGCAAGGCATAACTGGCTATTAAATTGAATTGATTAAATGATATTTGTTAGTGTCTGCATATCCTGCACTGCATATCACCTGCATATTACAGGGTTTAAACAAGTAAAATTTAAGCCCTGAGACATTTTTAAGACCATTATGAATGACATTTTAGACTTATACAGGGCTAAATGTTAAGGATCATTTCATTTTTGTTTTTTTCGAATATCCCAGGTAGAAAAGATGTTCACTTGCCCTATCAAAAAATAAATAAAAATGTAATACATTTAATAAAATAATAATAATTATATTTTTGTTTGAATATTTTTTATATTAATTTTCAAATATATCCATTCACAAACCCTATAACCCTTACCAAGAATATAACAAAATATAGCTGTCAAATACTTCAGTACTATAATATTATTTTTATAAGAAAAAATAAAGGTCAGGACAGTATCCTCAGCAGTAAGTTAATGGAGAACTTATAAGCAAATGTTAGTGTAAGGAAAATAATTAAATGCTATTTTTAAATAAAAAGGTTTATTGAGATGAATTGTTGGTGATTGTATGGGTGTTAATGGCCAGATTGGGTAGCTACACATGAACAAAGAAAAAATAAATTCTTTTAAAAAAAGGTTTAAGACCTACAACACAGTATTTCAGATTATTTGATACTTTTTAATACTTAAAATTTAGCTTTTGAGATTTAAGACATTAAGACTTTTAAGACCCTGCGGATACCTCGTATTAGCTCCTAATATTTAGTGTGCATGATTCAACAAAATGATAAACCTTTTTCTTCACACACGCAGAAGAAAACAAACCTCTCTAAGAATTTGCCATGTATGCAAATAAAATTGAGCAGTTAAATCATGTGTTTGTATCTAAAAGGTCCATTCTGGTGTCATAAAAGTATATTTTTCTACCTGAAGTGTACATACAGTATTAGTCACTACAAAATACAAAAATGTTAGCACTGAAAAAATCAACTCCTCCATGACTATTTTTGTATCTTTTTTTTTTTTTGGAGTGTAAATTACATGTTTTTTTTATTGTTTTTCTGCTTTTTTTAAATATGCATATTTGCAATATTGTTATTTTCCTAAATTTAATATAGTACTCTTGTAAGAAAACATTAGCATTTTGCAAATACTTTCATTATTACCTTTGCTTAATCTAATTCTTTTATATGAAATCTATTTACAATCTAATTGTTTACATGAAAAAGCCTGCTCCTGGACAGTTTTGAGCTACCATGCTATGACAACAACTCCTGGGTAAGTTTTGAAAACGCCAAACAGTCAATAATCAAATCCAGCTAACTGAATAATTCGCGTATAAGGAACAGACCCCAGACCAAAGTTTTCCAAAACATTCACTTAGGCTAAGCCATTTTAAGCTCCCAAAACAGACTTTAAACGAACTTTTGGCCAAATTTTTGGTAAGCTAACTATGACTTGTCACATTTATTGATACTATTATTTCTTTCCCTCAATTAAAAAACGCTTCAGATAAAAAAGAAATATCAGATTCAATTCAAATGTACATTAAATGGTGTCAAAACCATTCTCTCTTCAATGTGGTGTAAAGTTCAGGAGGGCCTTGAAGAGAAGCCATGTAGAATAGATCATTCTCTATTTTAGGATCTTAGCGACAAAATTTATCTTAACAAAGAATATTTACTGTACATAAGCCACAGCGATGGAGATTTCACTTGCTCAACTCGCTTGTACTATGACAGACCTTCCCCAAGAAGAAAATGACTGTGACATTGAAAAAGAGCAAATAGTTACCTGCGTCCACGTCAGCTAGTTAAAGAAGCAGCCGAGGAAAGAGAGAATAAACAAAACTCAAATCATAAAGCAGCCAAGCTAAACATGCACAGTCATAGTTAAGAAATGAAATACAGCAGGACAAAGAAAGATTTAAAGAGAGAGAGAGAGATAAAAGCATATCTTTCAATCATTTTTCACAATCTTATCAAACGCCATGGATCTTTTCTGCCTGTGTGTCAGAAGTATGTATGTATGAGTGTATCTGAACAGACAGATCAAACACAGTTTGACCCTGAGGGCACGGTCAGGTCAGTACAGATGATTTACAGCACTGAAAAATAGCACATACTATCACATACGCTCTTGTAATTTTGACCAGCTTAGTATGGAGGTCAATAATGTAACAAATAATTTGGCCGAATCTTTGAAAATGGCATTTCCATCAAAAACACTCCATGTCCAATGTAATAAAGAAGTAATTATAGAAATTAATGACAGATGTAATCACATGCAAGTATTAAATCAATCATAATACAATGCAAAAATATGTATTTACACAATAAGAACATTAAATAACAAATGATTAATTTCAGTGTGAGTACTTATTAGTTAAGCCCACTTAATATAAAGTGAGACCAAAACAAAATAATAAAATAAAAATTGTGATTTGAGACTAAATTTGCATCGTGAGTTCAATGAATCATTACATCCCTAACGTCCTACAGAGCTGCGTAACAAGTTCGTCCAGTTTCTTAAAATATATAATAGGACTACTTTGCTGGAAATGTTAGTGGTTAGTTTATGTTTTGCACTAAAAAAAAGTTGAAACTTGAAGTATTTATAACAGTGGTCATCAAACTTGCTCTCGGACGGCCAGAGTTTAGCTCCAACCCTAATCAAACACATTTGAACAAGCTAATCAAGGTCTTACTAGGTATACTTGAAACATCCAGGCAGGTGTGTTGAAGCAAGTTGGAGCTAAACCCTGCAGGGACACCGGCTCTCCAGGACCAAGATTGGTGACCTTTGATTTATTGTTGACTGGTGAAGATATTCATGACTTGATTTCAAGTGTTTAAAGAAAAAAATGATTAATGGATCCCAATTTAAAGGAAATGTGTTGTTTTTTCTTCATTACACCAAATAAAATGTTAATCCTTGTTGAAAATGAACACAAAGATGTGCCATTATATTAAAGTAGTGCACATTTTAAACCAGGTTTTAAAAATATTACTATTTACCACTGACCCATTTAACAAAAAAAAAAGTCATGGCAGTCATCGAGTTATCAAGATTTTGCAGTTTGCAAGGCAAAACCTCATTCAGGAAAGATTAAAAGTCCAACATTGATAACTCTTATAGCCAGAGGGGCTGGTCTGCACCAAACTGCTGATCCCAGCAGAGCTGTCTTTCTAAACACCAAAACTGTGGTGGCATGAGCAAAAACTGACTTATTTACTCATACAGGGTTCTGGGTTTTGAAATAGTAAATGCAAGGTCTTTGTAGCCACCACAAAGCCTGTAGGGATTTTTCTTTCTTCTTGCATAAACAAACACACACAGTCGGTCTTGTGATAATATCTCCTAATGAGTTCTCTGAGAATGCATCTATTCATGTAGCATGTGTGATAGAAACAGAGGCCGGTGTAAAAAACCCTTGCGGCCGACTGCTTTCATTGCAGAGCGCGCTGTAAAAATGTGCTCCAGCTCTACTTAGTGGTTTTGAGGTCGGGGTTCACTCTACCAAAGCTAGGAAACACTATTTTTAAACCCCGAATAGCGCAACTTCAAAAAAAGAAAAGTAGGAAAACATTTCAAGGGCTTGGTAGTTTTACTGGAATGTAAATTTAGAAATAGAAATCACCGCTTTCTGTTGCTAAAATGTGACATCACTTTATTGGAAATCAGAGTTTAGCGTATACGTCTATCATCATGTAACCCAGGTTACTAGTGGGTAGTATACAGCAATAGAGCAAATAGAAATATGAGGAAAAAAACATTGGCAGAATACTCGATTAAATAATATACATTAAAATTATTTACTTATATAAATAATTTATAATAGAGTATTATACAGCATTCAAGGGAATAGTGCTTTAGAATGACATCATCGTGCCTTACACTATAGCAGCAGATCAGCTTTCCAAACAATAACAAATCTCGCTTGTCTGTTAGCTTGTGTTTACCGTTGCTATGGTGATTCAGTGTTCGCAAGGGAAAGCAGAGATGTAAGTTGTTATATTAATAACAGCAGAAAACTATTAGATTTACATCTTTTAATGTTTTAATGCGTATTAACTGTGAAAATTGACCATTAATAAGATGCTGACATGATTTCAATCATATATTTTTAATGAAGGATTGAGAGAAAAAAGACAAGATTTGTCTCTGAGAGTGAAATCTGCACACGAGTGCCACCTGGAGTTTTCCTGTTTGTTTCGTTTTGATTTTGAATGATTTCCTTGGTGAGTTCGTGTTTTTATTATTTATTATTGTTTTCATTATAACATGATTTAAACTAGTGTCGAAAAAATGTGTTTCATTAATTAACCATTTGTTTGGTCTAGTAAAAACAAAGTATTATACAGAGTATTATACAAGTGATTGTGTAAAGTTTAAGTGAGAGAGTTTAAGTAAAATGCTGTCATTTGTAAAAAGAAAATGCCAAATAGGAGAGAGAAATAGGAAAAACACAGAAATTCAGCAGAGAGAAGCATATACATGGTTATTTACTGTTGCTGTTTATTTAGAAATGTGTTTATCTGAGATAATGCATACACTGTAAAATGCTAATGGTTTCTTTGGCCTTGTGTTTTCAAGGCCAGGTTTTTTTTTTTTTCTTTTCCTTGGTTTTGTTCGTTTGTGCATCTTTTTCTGATTTTTCATCGGTGAGATGTTCTATTGACGTCAGTTGCTGGATGTGATCTGCTCTGGATTCGAATTAATTGAAGTTTGAACTCTTTTCTGGATTTGGATTGTCTCAACTTCCATCGGCGTGTCTAATTGTGGAGTTGGACTGGCGAGCCTCCCATTGAGTGGATTCTTTGGATACACCTGTTGAAAAGATACAAAGTAAAACCTATTCAGCGTCATGGTAGGAGTGTAAATTTACAACACACTCACAAGTGCAACATCCTGGTTCTCTGGAACTGAATTTGCAACCTAGTTGTTTTGCAAAAGAATCTTTTTGAAAGTTTATCACCTTTACTGGACTTTTGGAACATTTTGAAATGTTTTAAGTGAATGTTTTATTTTCATTTTTATTTTATTTGTACATTGTTCCTTTAGAGTGTTCATTCGTTGAAATTTTTGAATCTTTATAGAGAGAGGTTAACTGATTTAAGAAGGGAAATCTTGATTATATGTTAAATAATAATACAATTTTAATATTGTATTATTAACTTACACTTGCAAACCTTTAATATAGTACTGTTATTAGCATATTAATATTATATTATTGTTATAATAGTAACCAAAATATAATATTAGCCTTAACAATAGAAAAACAGAAAAATAACAATATTAACTTACCTTATTAGTGATATAGCCTGTGAAGAAAGAGAAGTGTTATTAGAGAGTGTAAATAAGATTGAGGTCATTAGATAAGTGTGAAAAAATCTAGAATTTGTTTTATTTATTTTTATTTATTTTTATATATATTTCTGTGAACATTTTACAATACAATCTTTTAATATTCTTACCTCTGTGTCCGAGTCCTTCACTGTTGTTGTATCTTCTCTCTCTTTGGAGGAATTTAGACTTCTGAGCATCTGGTCCATTGATTAAATCTTATAATACATTTGTCTACCGAGGGTTACATACCAAAAAGTGGCGAGAGCCAGCCAGGAGAGAGATTGCAACAACAGTGTATAATTACAGTATTCGAGTTCACTATAAATATTACAAATCGGAGAGAACTTTAACGTCATGGATATCATAGAAAAAGAGAATGTAAATATCTCAAAAGCAGTAATTGTGGGTGGAATGACACTGACCGAGGCAGACTCAGATTTAGAGTCATGGCTTTTAAGATATGGTAGTATTAACCGACATCTTCTCATTGATGACCCTGACTGTGAGTTTCATCGACATGCTATCATAGAGTTTACACATAACTCCGCGATGAAAACATTGATGCCTCTTTTGCCTTTAACTGTAGTTAGTATGTCAAACCCAAGTACCACTTTTATGGTACGTGCTTTAAGCTGCGTCTACCCCCATATTGCTAGTGATAGTGCTACTAATGGATATCTGGAGGAATTGCAAAACATTGCTAGTTTTAGTGGGAAATCCATTGAGGAAGTACTCCAAACAGAGTTACTGAAAATTAAATTTGGTCCTTCTCATGCTGAGTCACTACCTGTTTTGGATAAAAAGCTTGAATTTCCAAATGCAGCACGTTCTCAAATACTTGATCGTAGCACAGTCAGTTCACCAAATAGACTGCTGTCTCCAGTCATATCACAAAGTATGATTACTGAACAAACAGCTTTTCCTTCATCCAGAATTTCACCATTTCATGAAGTTGAATCAACAAATTCAAAAAACCTGCCCAAGGAAAACCTTAACCATAGAAGTATTAAACCCACAGTAACAGTGTCATCCCATCCAGCACTTACCATGGATATAATTGATCCTCCTAGCGTGCAAAAGGTAGTAGTTGAGCACATTGTCCGCACAAATGACACAGCTCCAATGCACCATACCTCTTTTCGCCTCCGATCTTTCTCTGGAAAACTTCCTAGACCTGTTAATGAGCCAGACTTTGACACTTGGCGTGCCAGTGTTGATCTCCTACTGACAGATCCTTCTATATCTGACTTAAATCGAGCCAGAAGAATCATAGACAGTCTGCTTCCCCCTGCTGCAGATATTGTTAAACATGTCCCACCAAACAGTTTACCTGCAGTATATCTAGAATTGCTGGAGTCTGTATATGGCTCTGTAGAAGATGGAGATGAGTTATTAGCCAGATTTATGAATAGCTTCCAAAACAATGGTGAGAAGCCTTCAACTTACCTGCACAGATTACA